AAAGTCTCAAATCCAAAGAGATATTCTTTATAAAAGTTAAGAGTCAACCACGCCTACCTAAAACGCCTCGTTCTAACACGCCCCCACGTCTACGTCACGATGTGGGAAGATTTGCATAACGTGAGCCCAAGCTCACTCTAGCCCGCCGTGTATGACGCTGTGTTTAGTTGTGAAAGCGAAACTACTTAGTTTGGCCTTCCAAAAGAGGACACTAAATAATCCAGAACAGTGCTAGTGTGTTAAAGTCCATTTCAATTGGTTAGTGAATAAAATGTTATATTGCATCACTACGATAAACCTTTATTTTTAAGATTGTAACATTACATTATTTAGCAGGTGCCTTTATTCAAAGCAACTTACAATAAAGGAACATAAGCAATTTATCACAGAGTTAACAATGTTTATGTAATGTTCAAAAATGAAGGTTCCAAAAGGTTTTTGTTTTTTCACAGCGAAGCCATAGAAAAACGATTTTGGGTTCCTTAAAGAACCTTTTAGTGAACAGTTCTTAAAGTTTGTTTATTTTTAGTGTGAAGTACATTTTAATAATATAAAAAACCCTTTATCCACTATAAAGAGCCTTTTGTGCAATGGAAAGACTCTCTGGATGTTAAAGGTTCTTCATGTAACCATAGATGCCAGTGAACATGTATTTTTTAAGAGTGTAGTGTGCAATGCCAGGTTTATTAGCACTAGGAAAAACATAGTAAATAGTAAATGTGTAGTGTAATTGTGTATATTGTCTAAGTATATTTGTGCACTAGATTACGTCTCCTCATCTTCCCGTTCCACAGATGCGCCAGTGGCAGAACTTCATGACTTGTTCTGTAAGAAGCTGCAGCAGTGTTGTGTGCTTTTTGACTTTCTGGACTGTGTCGCCGACTTGAAGGGGAAAGAGATCAAACGTGCTGCGCTGAACGAGCTTGTGGAGAGCGTGGCCACCAGTCGCGGAGTCCTCATCGAACCCCTGTACCCAGAGGCTATTAAGATGGTGAGATGAATTGCGAAAGAGTGATGGAGTAGGATGGGATTTGATAAAAGAGCAGAGGAGGCAGGGGGAGATAAATCGCTGAGGGATGCACAGGATCTCCAATGCTCTAAAGTGCACTTAGAGACTCAGAAGCATTTACGTTTCCTTGTGTTTAGCTACATTAGCCCAGTACACAGTATGTAGCTGAAATACAAAAACACCTTAATTGGGAAGCAATTGATTTTTGTTAACCGGTCCTTTTATGTTTTAATGTGAAAGACAAAGGCGGGGGAGATTCACTAAGAATGAACTGGCACCCTTGGATAATATAGTTTATTTGCATATGCTGTTGCGTTGTGTTTGTTTTAGCCCCTTGTTTACTATTTTACTTGTAACAATGAATTACTGTTGCCCTGATCAATAGAAAATGTACGCAAACATCTTTTAAAATTAAATTCCATTTACCTGAAACTCCATTCAACTGAAATGCACAATTGTTCAAAGTAAACAGCAATGAGCTTCTGTGAAATCTATTTGATTAGAAAGTTGCATAGAAAAGCAGTGTTGAAAGAATTAAAGTGACTTATTTTACATAGAAATTACTTTTTTCTTTTGTGGAACATAAAAGATATTTTGAAAAGTGTTTTTTTTTTGTCCATACTAATGGTAACAAAAATTGGTTACCAACTACGATGACAGAATTTTCATTTCTTGGTCAACTATACCTTTAATTTAACTACTCACAGCATGGAACAAATTTGTTAAACTGGAATTAATTTCGTTTGTGAATAATATATATTTTTTCACCGATATACCGTGTGAAATAGCTGTCAAGTGAATTTGCATTTGAATATGGTCATAAATGATTCTATAGAAAAAAAGGAAAATAAAATGACCATGTCTTGTTCCTGTGTTTATATTCTGGTGGCATCAATCTGATCATCTTACCATTGTGAAGCGAAGAAGCTGATAAAGGCGAACATTTAAATATGATGTTAGAACAGGGGTTCTCAACTCTGGCCCTTGAGGATCACTTTCTTTTAATGTCATTTGCTATGTGAAAGCAATGCTTTAGTAAAACACAACCTTTCAACCCCTCTTCTTCCTGTAGATCTCAGTGAACATTTTTCGAACCCTCCCACCCAGTGAGAACCCTGAGTTTGACCCTGAGGAGGATGAACCAGCTCTGGAAGCCTCCTGGCCTCACTTACAGGTACATGTACATTCTCAAGTTCTTATATATACAAACACACTAACGCATATACTGACACCATGGGGTGAGAAATCATCAGAGTTTTTTATAGCTTGTGTCCCAGCTCTGATCCCATTTCCTCTCTCTTTGTCTCCTCTCTTTTTTTTTAATCTAGTTGGTGTATGAATTCTTTTTACGCTTTCTTGAGAGTCCAGATTTCCAGCCTTCTCTTGCCAAGCGCTACGTGGACCAGAAGTTTGTTCTACAGGTACAGAGCTTGTATAGATTTAGATGTATAGGTGTAGAGACCTTTTATGTAAATATAAAACGGCTGCAATGTAATAAAAATATATGTAATTATTGTATAATAAATCAAATAAATACATAATGAAACCATGTGAATAAATATGTACAGCTAAAGTGGACTTGAGGCGATTATAAATGATCAAGTCCAGCCTCTGGAGACAAACATTGCTAATTTGTAGTTTTGGCACACCCTGTTTTTTCTTTTAGTCTTGATATCTTAGAGCAGCAATATAAGATTTTAAATGTGTATCATATCATAGTCAAATCGCAATATTTCTCAAACACCCAGCAGGCAGTCTAACCTCCATGTTGGACTGTTAGTATTTTTGATTCTACTCACACCAATTATAAATATTCACAAGTAGTGCTTTTAATAAAGTGCAAAAGGGCTGACTACATGTGTTTGTGTGTAGCTGCTGGAGTTATTTGACAGCGAAGACCCCAGAGAGAGAGAATATCTGAAGACTATCCTGCACCGCGTCTATGGCAAACTTCTGGGCTTGAGGGCCTACATCCGCAAACAGATCAACAATATCTTCCTCAGGTCAGTCATACAGACAAAACGCATGAGCAGTATTGATATTCCACAGCCAGTGACATAAAAGATATTTTGAAAAGTGTTTTTTTTTTTGTCCATACTAATGGTAACAAAAATTGGTTACCAACTACGATGACAGAATTTTCATTTCTTGGTCAACTATACCTTTAATTTAACTACTCACAGCATGGAACAAATTTGTTAAACTGGAATTAATTTCGTTTGTGAATAATATATATTTTTTCACCGATATACCGTGTGAAATAGCTGTCAAGTGAATTTGCATTTGAATATGGTCATAAATGATTCTATAGAAAAAAAGGAAAATAAAATGACCATGTCTTGTTCCTGTGTTTATATTCTGGTGGCATCAATCTGATCATCTTACCATTGTGAAGCGAAGAAGCTGATAAAGGCGAACATTTAAATATGATGTTAGAACAGGGGTTCTCAACTCTGGCCCTTGAGGATCACTTTCTTTTAATGTCATTTGCTATGTGAAAGCAATGCTTTAGTAAAACACAACCTTTCAACCCCTCTTCTTCCTGTAGATCTCAGTGAACATTTTTCGAACCCTCCCACCCAGTGAGAACCCTGAGTTTGACCCTGAGGAGGATGAACCAGCTCTGGAAGCCTCCTGGCCTCACTTACAGGTACATGTACATTCTCAAGTTCTTATATATACAAACACACTAACGCATATACTGACACCATGGGGTGAGAAATCATCAGAGTTTTTTATAGCTTGTGTCCCAGCTCTGATCCCATTTCCTCTCTCTTTGTCTCCTCTCTTTTTTTTTAATCTAGTTGGTGTATGAATTCTTTTTACGCTTTCTTGAGAGTCCAGATTTCCAGCCTTCTCTTGCCAAGCGCTACGTGGACCAGAAGTTTGTTCTACAGGTACAGAGCTTGTATAGATTTAGATGTATAGGTGTAGAGACCTTTTATGTAAATATAAAACGGCTGCAATGTAATAAAAATATATGTAATTATTGTATAATAAATCAAATAAATACATAATGAAACCATGTGAATAAATATGTACAGCTAAAGTGGACTTGAGGCGATTATAAATGATCAAGTCCAGCCTCTGGAGACAAACATTGCTAATTTGTAGTTTTGGCACACCCTGTTTTTTCTTTTAGTCTTGATATCTTAGAGCAGCAATATAAGATTTTAAATGTGTATCATATCATAGTCAAATCGCAATATTTCTCAAACACCCAGCAGGCAGTCTAACCTCCATGTTGGACTGTTAGTATTTTTGATTCTACTCACACCAATTATAAATATTCACAAGTAGTGCTTTTAATAAAGTGCAAAAGGGCTGACTACATGTGTTTGTGTGTAGCTGCTGGAGTTATTTGACAGCGAAGACCCCAGAGAGAGAGAATATCTGAAGACTATCCTGCACCGCGTCTATGGCAAACTTCTGGGCTTGAGGGCCTACATCCGCAAACAGATCAACAATATCTTCCTCAGGTCAGTCATACAGACAAAACGCATGAGCAGTATTGATATTCCACAGCCAGTGACTGCTTTTTGTTAGTCTTTATGTCTGTCATTATATCTATTTTTAAACTTTGCAGGTTCATCTATGAAACTGAGCGTTTCAATGGAGTTGCTGAGCTTTTGGAAATTTTGGGAAGGTATTCTTTCAAACTGTCATAATAGAAAGCACACTAAGTGTGTGTTAAAAATCAGATCAGATGATGTTTATAAAGCAACTCAATGTAAATTAGAAGATTATAAAGTAGATCCCTATGGTTTATTCATTGTTTCCAGAGTTAGGAGGCACATATAATATCTTATGACATTTGTACTATAATCTTAAATGAGTAAATTATAGTGTTACGTAACTTCATGTGGCAGCAGATTACTGGAGAGATGCTTTATGGTGTGTGAGCTGGTGATTCAGACACTTCGCAGAGACCTCCGACATCAGTGCTCGCTGCATGTACCTGCCACGTGTTCTGCAGTCATGTTTCCCATCCTCAGCGTGTCTAGCCCTATAATTCACAGCCATGTTCTCAGCGAAACCAGTGCTGCTTTGCATATTGGGTTCAATGCACACAAAATGGTGCCTGTTTCTCAATGTGTTTAATAGCATAAACAAAAGCAAACCTTTGACAGAGAGAAACAGGGGAAGAGAGAGACAACCAGGGGGAGGCATGAGTCAGAGTGTTGGGGATGGAGGTCTAAATTCAGGTTGATGCCAGTAGTATTTATAGTGCCTCCCACCCACACATATCTCTGATCACTACTGAAGAGAGAATGAGGGAGAGAGAGAGAGACAGCTGCAGAATTAGAGCGAGAAAAGATGGGTCCCATGCAGAAAAATATGCATTTTGTGTTCTTTTAGTATATATTTTTTAAACATATGGTCAAAAACATATATCGGAAAATCATATTGATTATATGAAAATTTGAAACTATTTAAATACAACTTTTTAAACAGATTTTCAGGCCATTTTGTAAAGATATTTGAATAAGATTATAGAAATATTATAATACAGAATAATTGTAATAAAATGTATAATGTGTAATATTTGATAAAATACAGAAAAATGTCCAAAATATGTTTAAACAGTTTTATCATTGTCAATTTTAAGAAACGCGGCCAATTTAAACAACATGTTTTCAATTTAGATAATACATTTCAATGAACGTTGATGCTGTTGTTTATGACATTGTGTATGGCAAATAGATTTTTGCCAGATAATATACTGTATGTATATTTTGCCACATGCAGTCAGATAAGCAAAGTAAACAGATAGGAAGAAAAAGAAGGCAATAAAATGAGAGAGAGAATGATTATGTAAAATGAGAGAGAAAGACAAAGAGCGAAGAAGATGGTAGAATAAAAGAGAAACAGAGACAGACAGTATGGATGGAATGGAACTGGAATGGAAACAGTTAAGCAATGGGAGGAACAGCCTGAGTAAAAGAACAAAGATAAAACTAAGGAAATGAGAGGAAGAGAGGAGGAGACAGTCAGAAAGAGAGGAAGGATGAGGGGGGTTTAGTGGGGGATTAGCTGATGAACAATAATGTGGCGAATGAGTGTACAGAGCATCATCAGGATGACTGATACTAATCCTGTTTATTCTCCCTTTTCTCTTTTCCGCCTACTACTCACTTCTCTCCTCTCCTCTCCTCTCCTCTCCTCTCCTCTCTTTTCCAGTATCATAAATGGCTTTGCTCTGCCTCTCAAATCAGAGCACAAGCAGTTCCTGGTGAGGGTCCTGATCCCCCTGCACACTGCCAAGTCTCTCTCCATTTTTCATGCGCAGGTTAGAGTCAGACGCACTCACACTGGGACGCTCATACAGATCTAATGCTCTTAATTAATGGACTGTAATGGGCTATCCTACCACAAGGGGGCGCTAAATACTAAAGCTAAATCCAGTGGCCCCAAAAAGTGTACAAAGTGGACACTGACAGAGAGAGTTCACACACCTCTCATTTACTCAATGTCATGCCATTCTAAACTCTGGTTAATGTTATTTTGTTCTGTGATTATATCTGTTAAGCTGTAATCTTGATGACTTGGTTAAAAAACTGGTTGGTTAAAAGTCATTGCAAGATAAAAATTAGAATATCTATCTATCTATCTATCTATCTATCTATCTATCTATCTATCTATCTATCTATCTATCTATCTATCTATCTATCTGTCTGTCTGTCTGTCTGTGGAATTCTATCTATCTATCTATCTATCTATGGAATTCTGAATTCTCTTGGTTTGATATTTTTATGCACTAACATTAATAAATTTTTAGTAGCCAGAAACAAGTTTGGACATTTTGGGGCCACTGTATTAAAGTCTGAACTTACTTGCCTTTGTATATATAAATGTGTGTGCCTGGCTGTTTACACATACATTGTTCAAAAATTGGGGTCAGTAAGATTAAGTATTTATTTATTTAGAAATTAATACTTTTATTAATTAAGGACACATTGATCACTTTTGCTTTGCTACAAGAAATTCCTATTTAAAAAAATAAATGCTGTTCTTTTAAACTTTCTGTTCATCAGAGAATACTGAAAAAAGAATAACAGTTTCCACAAAAAAATATCAAGCAGCACAATAAAAATTGTAATGACATTTCAAAATATTGCTGTTTTCACTGTATTTTTGATCAAAGAAAATGCAGCCTTGGTGAGCAATAAGATCTTACTGACCCCAAACCTTTGAATTGTATTGAATGCATTCTTTCAATAGATTAATATATATATATATATATATATATTAATACCTTCTGCATAAATTCAGACACATGCACATAAACATAACCTCACAAGATAAACATCTGAACCATTTTGTAAAGCACTACATAGACTGAGAACTAAGAGGATAGTTATTATGTTCTCATTTGGAAAAGAATAAGCGAGAACAGAAAATAAATCAGGAGTTAACAGTGCTCTTACCCCCTGGGGTTTTATGTGACATCAACCCTTCCAAAGTAGACACACACACACACACACACACACACACACACCATCACCACCATAACAGCTCACCCAGGCAACGGTCCAGAAGGGCTTCCGTGGTAACAAAAAGCACACACTCACTTGTGGCCATATCACATGTGTGTGCACGCGCGCGCACACACACACACACACACACTCAGGTTTGTTTTTATGGTTTATGGGGACTCTCCATAGGCGTAATGGTTTTTATACTGTACAAACCGTATTTTAATATTGCCCTACACCAACCCTACCCCTAAAACTACCCCTTACAGGAAACTTTGTGCATTTTTAGATTTTCAAAAAACTCATTCTGAATTATTTATAAGCATTTTGAATTACGGGGACACTGAAAATGTCCTCATAAATCACCTTCTCGTTGTAATACCTATGTCATACCCATGTTATTATACAAATTTGTGTCCTCATAAACCACATAAACATGCACACACACACACACACACACACACACACCTCCCTTTGGAAAAACATCCTTTTCTCACTCTTTTGCCTGTAATCTCTGAGGCTCAGGTGTTTTGTGCGTCTCTCCTCTTGAGGGAATATATTGATCTGGAAATAAATGTAGCATGTGTGTGCACACTAGGATGTCATCATTTAGTCATGTAGAGTCTCAGTGGTTCTTCTTATAGGTTCTTCTTAAATCTCTAAAACTAAAAAATTATGAAAATATTGTGTCTAAATCTGAAGTATAGATATTAACTTGTTTATTGAAGAGCTGAATAAAAGTAATATCACTCTTGCAACCATGCTTTTTTAAATGAAAATCACCACAGCTGCGATTACGCTTGCTCATGTGAAATTACTTACATGTAAATTATATTTATATTCAGTTTCTATATTTATATTTAATTTAATGTCTTTTTTTTTTTGCAGTTAGTTGATATGGACTCTATCCAATTTCTAGAGCTTGCACCTAACCCAGGCTTTCTCACTTACACCCACATAATGTACCAAAAAGGCAAGCTCCGTCACTGTCTGGTGTGATGCTCGCAAGGAACAGGACATGTGCTATCACCATTATGCCCTTGAGCAAGGCAAATAACCCAAGCTTCTTCCAGTGGGACTGTCTCTGTTAAAAGTTGATCAAGTTAACCAACACTTAGGAAAAAAAGTACTGTAATGTCATTTTCATGTGTGCTATTACGTCTATCCAGCTTATACTGCAGGTTTACTGTTGCTTTAGTGCACAGTATCTAAGCTGTATACATGCGTGTTTCGCATAAAACTGTTCCCCATTAATCCAGAAAATTGTCTAAAAGCATTTGTTGACACTTCTATCAGTTACACCTACATTATTGGCACCCTCATATTTATTGTTTAGTATAGACATGCGTCACGTCAGTGCATTGACTGCTGCAGAAAGTCTGCTGCTGGCAGAGTGATGATAAAGCCATGTGGTGGCATTTAGGATCTTGATTAGAAGAATGGTTTATTTGTGAAGTTAGCTCAGTGCTTCAGATCAAACCATGAAAGGAAGATAAGGGCTGTAATCTTTTTCTCATAGTGAAAGAGTATGCTTGCACTATAATCAATGAACAGTCTCCCTAAAGCCTGGCTGCACTGACCAACAACTCCACACACACACACACACACACACACACACACACACACACACACACACACACACACACACTCTCTCTCTCTCATACCATTTAGTCATAAGCACCTGCAGCTAAAATCTATAAGCCTTTGAATTGACACCTATAGTGTGTAGAAAACCTGTAAGTGACTTTATTAAAATCTTTTTTGTGCTCTCTTCATGCAGCTGGCTTACTGTGTGGTGCAATTCATGGAGAAGGATGCCACCGTTACAGAACATGTAAGTCATGCAACTTCATATGCATACCAGAATTGCTACTAATACTATTATATCTGTACTGTCACACCCAAAAAGATGATTGTCGTAATGATTTTCGTATTCATCTGTCTGTTTTCTGTCCTTCATTAGATCATCAGGGGGCTGCTGAGATACTGGCCTAAAACATGCACTCAGAAAGAGGTGAGTTGAGGCAAAGTTTGACCTCTCAGACAAGGGTTCCCGAACTTTCTTTGTCAGCCAAACCCCTTAGACAAAAAATATTCATTTGAATTACCCCCTGAGATTTTATGTAAATATTTCAGTAATTTCTAACACATTTGCATGTTCACAGTTCTCTGATTCTGGTCAAAAAGAATTAGTATTATTAGTAGTAGTGTTTTACCTCTAGTAAATGACACTTATATTGTAAAATATTAAATGAATATTTGATAATTATAATAATGAATCATTTTGAAACACATAGTGTATCAGACCAGTTATTTAATTAAAGTGCAGCCTTTGATTTGATAATCACACTAAGCTATATCACAGTTATTGCAGCCTCATTTATTTATTATAATTTTACATTCTATATAATAATAGAGCACCTGTTTGGGAAACCCTGTCTCAGATAATAGCTATGTTTTCTTCCAAGTTGCATATTTAATTAATTAATTCATTCATTAAAAAAAAGGCATAAACGTGTGAATAGAAACCAGACTAGTGACAATTACACTCTTAAAAATAAAAGTGCTTCAAAAGGTTCTTCAAGCGATGCCATAGAAGAACCATTTTTGGTTCCACAAAGAACCATTCAGTCAAAGGTTCTTTAAAGAACCATCTCTTTCTTACCTTTTTATAATCTGAAGAACCTTCTTTCGCCCCAGAGAACCTTTTGTCAAACAGAAAGGTTCTTCAGATGTTGAAGGTTCTTTATGGAACCATTTAGACAAAAAGGTTCTTCTATGGCATCGTGAAGCACCTTTATTTTTAAGAGTGTACTAGAGACAGACTAATACTATATTTTATAACAGACCAATGTTTGACATGTTGAATTAATTTACATTGCGAAATTTTAAGCAGATGTTGAAGGTTGTGTAGATTGTTAATTCCGTTAATAGTGTCTGATGAATTTTGACATTTATTTAATTCACATTTTGCTGAAAGAGTTGTGAAATCCACTCACGTAGCTGATTGAAAATGGACTTCACGCGTGGAAATATTTGGTAGTGTGTTTGTACAGTATGTAATTCTGTCATGTGATCTCAGGTGATGTTCCTGGGGGAGATCGAGGAGATTCTGGACGTGATTGAACCATCTCAGTTTATCCGTGTGCAGGAGCCTCTATTCAAACAGATTGCTGCCTGCATCTCCAGTCCTCATTTCCAGGTCAGCTTCCTCTTTCACACTCGAGCATTCCTCCCACACTGCGCTGCTCGTCAGACGTCTTCCTATAGTACTTGTGAACGTGCGGAGGTGATGTATGGATCTGTTTGTGTACAGGTCCCTCATTCTGTCTCTTTATTCTGTCTCAGGTTGCAGAGCGGGCTCTGTATTTCTGGAATAATGAGTACATTCTGAGTCTAATAGAGGAGAACTGCCAGGTCATCCTGCCTCTGGTCTTTGGCACGCTGTACAGAGTTTCCAAAGAGCACTGGAACCAGTCAGTGTCATTCTAACACACATCTAGAAACTCTTCAATAACGTTAATGCTATTGACATCAATGAAGACTGTTTCTGCATAGGCCTGTTAGACATTCCTCTGTTGTCTTTTTTAGGACGATCATCTCTCTTATTTACAATGTGCTGAAGACGTTCATGGAGATGAACAGCAAGCTCTTTGATGATCTCACTTCCTCCTACAAAGTGGAGAAACAGAAGTGAGTTCATGACAGTGCTAAAATCAACATGAAACTGCATTACAACTCATTTTGCCTCAGTAAGAAGATATATTTCTGAGTGAAATATTTCGTCTGTAAAAGTGTGGGACAAGGTTGCATACTAAAAAGTGGTCATTACATACCAGAATGAAGCCAGGTTGTTGGGTGAAACGAGTTAAAATATAATTGAAATTTATTTTTAAACATATAAAAACAAATAAAAAACTTAAAATTGATAGGTGACGTCAAACAAAAAAAATAAAGTCATTCTGAAGTATATCAAGCTGAAAAATGTACCAGAGCTTGGGGTTACATGTAAATATGAAGATATCATAACACGTAATACATCTATATGTAATATAATATAATATAATTAGTGCTGTCAAACGATTAATCGCGATTAATCGCATCCAAAATAATAATATGTGTGTGTATTGTGTATATTTATTATGTATATATAAATACACACACATGCATGTATATATTTAAGAAAAATATGATACGTTTATATATAATTTATATGAATATAAATATATACACGTGAATACATGTAAATACATTCAAAATATATGCTTTATGTGTGTGTCTTACATAATATACACAGTACACACACATATATTATGTAAACAAAAACTTTTATTTTGGATGCGATTAATCGTTTGACAGCACTAAATATAATATAATATATGAATAACTTAAACCACTATTATTAAGTTATTATTACATAATAACGTAGACTTGATAAGTTGACATACTAACATGACTAAAACTATAACTGAAATAAAAATAAATAGAAATAAAATAAAAAATAAAGTAAAAGCTAAATAAAAAACTAATTACAAAAGCACACAACTAAAATTGCTTAACTAAATAAAATGAATAAAATTTAAAATAAATTATAAAAATAAAAACAATTCAAAATATTAATAATTGCTAAAATATTCTATAAGGTACACTAAAATAACACTGGCGTAATGTATATGGTTAGAAAAACAATAGAGGTAAAGGTAAAAATGCCACTGAAATCCAATTCTAGGATGCAAATATTGTTCCTAAAATAATAATAATAATAATTTCTGAATCTGGAGTAGGTTATAAAACAAGTTATAAAATGTATTTTTATTCTGTATTTATTTGATATTTTTGTAATAAATGATGCACCAATTAGGCTGGACATGTGTATTTATTTATAAATTAAATGTGAACACAGCACATAATATGATTCTTTTTATCTTCCTCTCATTTTCACCTAAAGCCTTTTATGCTTCGACACTCTTCCCCACCCCCATTTCCTCTCTACAGGGAGCTGAAGAAAGAGAAGGAGCGAGCGGAGCTGTGGAGGAACTTGGAGGATCTGCAGGAGCGGCGGCTGCAGAGTCTGACCGAGGCCAGCAGAAACCAGAAGAACCTGCAGGAGAGAGAGAGCACAACCAAGAGCCAGTCAGAGACCAGTGCTGCCAACACCACCTAAAAACCGCACGCAAACACACACCGACACACACACACACAATGTCACAGCACTGTAAAACACAATAATTACCTGACTTGGGAACCAATCAATGCCTCAATCTCCGTCTGAAAACACACACACGCACACACCATGCAGACACTACTGTCACAAGCACATGAACGACAGCCTGTCCATATGTAGATATCTGAAAAACACTGAAGCACACATCACACACAACGAGTGAGATATAAAAGAGAAAAAAATGAGTTCCTCTCACATGCGTCCTACTCTTTCATATGCTTCATACACGCTTTTCACACACCTGCCTCTCTGCATCTTTTCTTTCTATTCCTCATGCTCCGGGATCATCAACCTCAACATGCGTAACATACCTGCGTGGGGTGAAACGAATGTACACACTCGCAATCAAACACGTACATCCTTCATTACTGTCATTTCAGTACTGGCTCAGTTTCTCTCGGGCCCGATCCGAGCCCCCCGTCAATCGACCAATAGACTCTGCATACAGTCAAACGCTGAAGAGGAATGAATTATGATGATCCTAAAGATGAAAATTCTTTAAAAGTACAGATTCTAATGTTCCTACTTCTACGGCTTATTCTATGAGTACTACTTCTATGCTAATATAACTGATGTTTATATATATATATATATATATATATATATAAATATGATATCCATGTCTGATTATAGTGTTGGTGGGGGTATTCTAGTGTAGCACCTCATAAACATGACTGAAGTATGCTGCTAGGTAAAACTAAACTTGCTCTGAAGTGACAACACTTTTAGTCTGTTCTCATGTCTGTTCATTTGTTTTAAATAATGGTGTGTCCGGCTATTTTTTTTATTTTTTTTTTTATTCTTATTTATTTCTTTCAGGTCAAATTGCTTGCAAACATTCTCTTTGTATTTCAGTACAATTTCAAGAGAGGACAGAGTCTTATTTTTGTCTTGATTTTTATATGTTTTTGGTTGCTTATATTTATTGATGTAGAGGATTGCTAATGGGAAGGAACTGTGTGCGTAGGCATATTGAGAAAGCTTAAGAATGCGCGAGTGTGTGAGTGTGTGTGGATGTTGTAGAGAAGTTTATTACAGTTTAGAAGAAAACAGGGATTAGATCAGAATGTACCATTTACTTTGAGTGTGCGTCAACGCTCAAATGAACTGCCACTGTTGATTATTGATTTACAGTCTGTCATATGGAGAAAAGGATGAGAAAAGCAAACAGTCTTGTTCTTGTTCAAAAGAAAGCATCTGGATTGACTTCTCATTTGTTTGACCTCTGAGAAAACTGGTATCTGTAGAAACATCCCATTTCATAGGAACAAAATGGAAAAGAAAAATTAAATAGAATAGACACGGCAATAAATATGGACTGAAATTGTACGCATACGTAGCATCACTTAAACTTTAAAGTTGCACTGTCCTTTTGATCAATGTCTTGTGTTTAAACATAGCAATGTATTTTTGGGGGACAAGCGGCTTTTGGGATATGAATGTATAAAAGTGGGATGTAAACATGAAAACTTGTGTTGAATAACTCGGCATCATGAACACTTTTGTCATTATTTTCACTCAAAACCTTTGACACATCTGGGGATTTGTTCACTTCTTAGTAGCCAACCATATTTATACCTTTTCTTTTACTTCAGAAAGGTGCTTTGGATTCAAAGCTGACCAGTTTTCGTCAAGCTGAAAACATAGTTCACTTCATTGACATGAAGCTGATGTCATTCAGTTCATTCCTAAAACACCAGCAGCTGTTTAAAACGTGATTGGTTAAGTGTACATACAGTGTGTTGTAATGTTCCGGCCTAGATTAATGAGAATTATAATTAGTGTGATGTCAGACTGTAACAACAACAGCAACAGCTTTAAAACAGCAAGGCATTCGGTGAACCGTTAGTAGCCAACCATATTTATACCTTTTCTTTTACTTCAGAAAGGTGCTGTGGATTCAAAGCTGACCAGTTTTCGTCAAGCTGAAAACATAGTTCACTTCATTGACATGAAGCTGATGTCATTCAGTTCATTCCTAAAACACCAGCAGCTGTTTAAAACGTGATTGGTTAAGTGTGCATACAGTGTGTTGTAATGTTCCGGCCTAGATTAATGGGAATTATAATTAGTGTGATGTCAGACTGTAACAACAACAGCAACAGCTTTAAAACAGCAAGGCATTCGGTGAACCGACACAGTTTGCTAGTTTCCTTCATAAAAGCTTCTGGCATCTGCTTGTGGACTCAAACAAGTGAGTTAATCTCCTCCAGTTTTTAGTTTTATTGCCGTTTTGTGTTTATAATTGAATTAATTCTGATTTAGCCTAAGTGTCGTTAACTTGTCAATGGAAGTGCAGAGTATCTTGATTTCAAGTGAACATTTTTCCATGGCTGGTGTAAACAGTCACATGACCAGAGCTGTTTGGCCCTCTGATGCCCTTCAGAAAGAACGACTATATTTTATACATACAAGCTAATATTGAACATGTCTGTAATGAATAATTAAGACTGTTCTGTCTCATATTATAAAACTGTACATTTCCAAATACTGTTACATTCTATAAAACAAGGAAAATACATACATAAACAGGCTGCATGTATATGTACGTATGTAAACCCCCCGTCTCATAACTGCGTGGAAAAAGTTTTTTAGTTGTTATCGTTAACCTATATAAGTTTGGGTATTATATGATAGTTAAAACATTTCGGGACGAAAATGGGGATTTCTGAAGCTTTTTACCTGGTGTGTCGAAATGGGGGGATTTCTGAAGCTTTTTACCTGGTGTGTCGAAATGGGGGGATTTCTGAAGCTTTTTACCTCATTTCTTCAGAATTCTGATTCACAATTCAAAGCCCCCGGAATTCCAGACGCTGGCGACGTCTGCTGGTCATATATATATAAGTTTTTGTTTTTGAAGTGTTTTTTGGGGGTATAAATGGAGCAGGTGAGGGAAAATAGTAGCCAGAAAAAGGCAACGAATCCTTGATAATCCGTCAGAGATTCTCCATTAATTAATAGTAAATAAAAATAAATCTAATGCTTTAACAGCAGGCACATAGGCTTTTTTTTATTCATGAAATACATTATTGTTATTCATAATTTCTTTCAGAATGTACTCTGCCCACTTCCTAGTGACTGCTGTGACCTTTCTGCTCCTGTTTCCTGGGGTTTATTCCGCCATGGCTGTGACGACCTTGCAAAGTTTTCGTGGCTGTGCGGTACGTGATTTTGCTTTTGTGGCAAAGAAGCCAGGATGCAGGAGTCTGCGAATAAACACTGAGGCATGCTGGGGCCGCTGCCACACCTGGGAGGTGACCAAAACCTGCTATATTCAACTTATTTATAGAAAAATATGAGAACACGTGGTGTATACGTATTCATTTCTATCTATCACAGAGGCCGGTTCCAGAACCGCCGTATATCCAGAGGCACCACCGTGTCTGTACCTTCAGCCGAACACGGCACCTGACAGCACGTTTACCAGGTTGTCGCCCTGGCGTCTCCCCAATCTACCATTACCCTCAGGCCTTACAGTGTGACTGCACCTACTGCTCCTCAAACCACACAGAGTGTGAAACCTTTTAAGGGCACACACACACAACTGATTCATACACATTCTCTTCTTTGCTTATTATGTAAAAATGATTCATTTGTTATGTAAAATATTGTTATGCATTAGATGTCACAAAACATGATTTAACAATAAAACATAGCCTCATGTACTCCGATTTTGTGCAAACATCACCTTATAAATATATATTCCGTAAGATACATTCTATGGCTGGTGTAAACAGTCACATGACCAGAGCTGTTTGGCCCTCTGATGCCCTTCAGAAAGAACGACTATATTTTATACATACAAGCTAATATTGAAAATGTCTGTAATGAATAATTAAGACTGTTCTGTCTCATATTATAAAACTGTACATTTCCAAATACTGTTACATTCTATAAAACAAGGAAAATACATACATAAACAGGCTACATGTATATGTACGTATGTAAATCCCCCGTCTCATAACTGCGTGGAAAAAGTTTTTTAGTTGTTATCGTTAGCCTATATAAGTTTGGGTATTATATGATAGTTAAAACATTTCGGGACGAAAATGGGGATTTCTGAAGCTTTTTACCTGGTGTGTCGAAATGGGGGGATTTCTGAAGCTTTTTACCTCATTTCTTCAGAATTCTGATTCACAATTCAAAGCCCCCGGAATTCCAGACGCTGGCGACGTCTGCTGGTCATATATATATAAGTTTTTGTTTTTGAAGTGTTTTTTGGGGGTATAAATGGAGCAGGTGAGGGAAAATAGTAGCCAGAAAAAGGCAACGAATCCTTGATAATCCGTCAGAGATTCTCCATTAATTAATATTCTGTATTATCAATTTTGAAAACAGTTGTGCTGCCTTACCCAGGTTCATTTGATAAATAGAAAGTTCAAAAGAAAAGCATTTATTTGAAATAGTTTTTTTTTTTAAATGCAAAATATTTTACTGTCACTTTTGATCAGTTTAATGCATCCTTGCTGAATACAAGTATTACATCTTTACTGACCCCAAACTTTTCAATGGTAGTATATTTGTATGTAAATTTACAAGTAAAATAAAAACAAGCAAATAAACAAACTGCATATTTGAATAATTACACACCAGTCTTGTCCAGTACTGCATGAGTGACACGTTCTTTATGTGGGATCTCAGTAACGAGATTTGTGGCACATGTTGCACCGACAGGCGCGCGCAGTCAAGATCTCCATATCATCATGATGACGGCCTCGAGGACAGTGCAGACGAACTTTGATCTGAGAAACAAAATATTATCTTTAATAAATTATTTCAATTCTCTTGAACAATTTTGACAATGTATTCTGAAATGATTCACCTAATAGAATAAAACAGAATAGATTGTTATTGCATGACTGGGCCGGTGGAAATTATGTCCAGAAATCCACAGAGGACCATAACCATTAAAGTCTTTAGTCATAATGGTTCATAATTGGTTCTTCTGATGTAAAATTGGTCTTAGTAATATAATGGTTAGTAGATGGTGATAGTGCTGTACCTTGGCATCCTTGCTAATGGTGCAGCAGCGGGAAGCAGACGTTATGTTGCGGGTGAAGTTGGAGGCCAGCAGCACAGAGTAGCGCGAGGGGAAAGCGCTGGACTCACAGTAGCCCACGCAAGCGTACACCAGCTGAGTTCCTCGACAGGTCCCTCGCTTGTCTGTCCGTATGGTCACGTTGAATGCTGTGTGTAGACAGAGGAGTAAACTAATACTTTTCATAAGAATGGGCAGACGTTATGTTGCGGGTGAAGTTGGAGGCCAGCAGCACAGAGTAGCGCGAGGGGAAAGCGCTGGACTCACAGTAGCCCACGCAAGCGTACACCAGCTGAGTTCCTCGACAGGTCCCTCGCTTGTCTGTCCGTATGGTCACGTTGAATGCTGTGTGTAGACAGAGGAGTAAACTAATACTTTTCATAAGAATGGGGTTGATTGCTTCATAAAAACGAGGTCGTTTCCACTCACGGTAAAGGTGGCAGCCAGGGGTCAGGGCTTGAAAACTCCAGCTAATAGGCATTAACAACACCAACAGAACCATAGGCAGCATAAGCACTGCCAGATCAGATGTTACGCAGCGGAACATGGTGATGTTAACCTGCAAGAGTAACAACAATTTAAGCGAATTCACTCAAGAAATGCCACTAGAATATATCACCAGTACACTCATTTTGTTTTCATACACTCTTTTGGTAACCTGGACCAGTGACTAAATCATCTTTTCATCTTTTAGTGCTTCGTGACTTTAATAAATGATTTCATACCGTTTACATAAACATTTAAGTCATTTGGCCCTTTAGAAGAATAATTTCTGTGAGAACTGACCAGACTTTCCTGACTATTGTCTTGGGAGTTCATTATTGGGAGTTGTCAAAATAATCTGAAAATTAAACTGCCACTTTCCCATCACAATGTGTGTGAAGGTTTCCATGCCGTAAACGGGTTTATATTGATTTATTAGTAACTACATTTTATTATCATGTGTCTGGTTCATCGTGTGTAATATGTGAAACAATTCAGAACAATTATGAAATTGTTTTTTTTGTCCAATATAATCAGAATATACATGTAGCCTACGCCTACGCTTTCTTTCTTTCTATCTCTATTTTGAAAACATTGGTCTTTTTTTTACTCATACACATAACTATACTTGGAGAATTCAATTTTTATAGACACTTTCTTTTCTTTTTTTTGCCTTTACTATATATATATATAAAATTTACCACACACACACAGCCTATAAATATATATATATTAAACTTACTTGAACAAAATATATCTACATTTTAAATATCTATTCAACAATTCAAAAAGTACACACAGATCAAATTAGAATTAATTGTTTAAAGCAAGGAGTGTGAAGCTTGCTTTTGCTGCTGTTGAACGGACAGATGGATGGATAGATAAATTAAAAGAATTACACTACCCCTCAGGGAAAAGTCTCAGAAATAACTTTTGTCCACAGCATAAATAACAGGTAATAGAGAAATCAGCATTACAGTTACATTAATATTAATCTCATACCAAGACATCCACATTATATTTAAAGTGAAAAAGGCAAAGGTGTACCTGTAGATGTGGATACTGCTTCAAAGCCGAAGTTAGTTCAGATAAGATGTTGACCTCAGACAGGTGTGCAGGTGTGAAGTTGTCTCTCACAGGGCACATATATGTAGTGCAGGTAGAACTGAGCTCTCAGTTTCCAGCATAGTCACACCCACTTACCAGTGTGTCCTCGTGCATGTGGATGTGGAGAACCGGACCCTCCCCACTGCCATTATTCCCCTATTTTACTGCACTTGCTGTTGTTCCCTGTCCCATCCCATTTCTTTTCATTTTGCCTAACTTTATAACCTTTTGGACGTGATTTCATCTCTCGTGCTCTGGTCTTTGTCATGCATGATATAGGGCCAAATCATCTCAAAACAAACTGCTTTAGGCTTGTAAACCCATGCACAATATCTGAACAATTCATGTGAATATGAAGACGGCATGGTAAACAATATAAACAAGTGTAAATGTTTCGAAATATTCACAAATCAAATGGATTTTTGGACCACTATTAAATTGAAAATTATGCATGCCTGTTAATTGCAGAGACCAACACTGCAGATATTGTGTTGGCATCATACTAAAGTGAATTTTTGGTCATGTAAACATCTTATTCAAAACATCAACCTAAACATTTATTTATATTTGCACATGTTTAAACAAATGTAATTTTGAGTGGTATTAAACCCTGTTGTGAGAAGTCAAAATACAAAAAAAAAAAAACATTTTTGGTTAAGAAATCATTTTTTGGATTTTAATAAACCACTGTGACAAAAATGCATCTTTCCATTAAGGGGTGAAATCTTCTTCCGTAAACTGATTTCCAGGAATTTCTGTATTATTGTTCAGTACAAAAATGAGAATTAGCAAGATTGAAATACAGCATAATAATGGTGAGCATCCTCATTATTTCTTGAAGAGCATGGAGAGTGAAGATGTCATGACTTTGTTTATTTGAATTGTTCTGAGTATATAGAGTAGAGTATAGAGCAATATTCCAACAGTTGTGGAGAATACTGATGACTTTTTAAAGGCTTTACCAGAATGTACACTGTACAAAAGTTTAGGGTCTTTTATGCTCACCCAGGCTGCATCTAATCAAAATACAACAAAACAGTAATATTGTGAAATATTATTACAGTTAGTATATTTTAAAATGTCATTTATTACTGTGATGGCAAAGCAAAAAAATTCAGCAGCCATTCCTTTAGTCTTTGGTGTTACATGATATATAACATTTCTTATTTTTATCAGTTGAAAAGAGTTGTGCTGCAGAAATCATGATAGTTTTTTTTTTGATGAATAGAAAGAATAATTTATTTTAAGAATGTTTTGTAACAATGTCAGTCTTCACTGTTAATTTGGATCAATTGAATTAATCTTTGCTGAATAGAAGTATTCATTAAAAAATGATGTGCATGTACAGTAAATTAAGCTTTAGCGTTAGTTCTGGCAGGTCACGTGAGTCAAGCTTGCATGAGCTGATTCTCAGCTGATCACATCTACCTATAGGAATACGACACCTATCGCAGCATTCCTATATAAGCTGTACTCAGTATTATTCAGCAGCTTTTCAGCTTGCTTCGGAGCAAATTCCCCTCCGCCATCCCCAGCTCCACCTTTCGCCACAGTCAGGACTTAGCTTTCTGATATTCCTTGCTAATCAGACTCCTTTATCTTGAATAAAGTGTTACACTTAAATATCATTGAGTACATTAATGATATCTGCCTTGTTCTGTTCTATTAACCCTGGTGGGGTTATTATTGCTGCTCTCCCTGCTCATTCATGACAGGCTGCATGGATGGGCAGGGAGGTTTTTTGCCCAGAACAGAACCATACCGCCAAACCAAACTTTATGCTAAGTATCTATCATTTTGACGATAGTGGTCCTGACAGAAATGTTGTTGTTGATGCTGATGCTATTTTAGTGCAAAAGCTAAATTGAAAGTCCTTTACAATGCATTCCTGGGTGCTGACTATACTAGCAAACTACTATTAATCCATTCACTTTCTAACACGCACAATTCATTATGTCATTGGAAATGGAATGGATGACATAATTCAACATCCTCTCGACCCACCTCCTCACAACACACACACTCAGCATGATTCATACTTCAAGGTCTCCAGGGTTTTTATCACAGAATGGAGTGTAATTATAAAAAGATATTAAGATTTATACAGGGCCAGCTTTTCAAAAAAAACTTCAGAGTTTGATTGACACGGAGGTTTAAAGGTCGAGATATTAATATAATCAGCTCATCAAGTGAAAACGTGAGGCCATGCCCTCTCCTGTTGTTTTGGCAGCTGCTATAAAGTGCAAGCGGATGCATTAATAATCTAATTCTTCATGACTCTACTGGTTTCCAGGTTACAGCGATACGTAAACGCTGAAAATAAAAACAAGAGAGATAAATCTGGGCTTTTTCTTGAGTCATGAACCCAAAGTTAGAAGTCTTTGACAGATACAGGAGAGCTTCAACTAATTCTTCTTTGATCCTGTAATAATTTGCAAAGGCAGTCAGAAGCAGGTGTGGATTTTGAGACAAGAGGATCGGGCGTGTATAGCCTTGGCCGATGACTTCACCTTCTTGAGAGTGGTCTGCCACACACACACTCAATTTAGTGAATGCTGCAACAACACGCACACACTCAGATACACAGAAACACAAAAAAGCCAACAAAACTCGCTGTTCTAACGACCTTATTCAGGTGAACGCACATAATAGAACATACAATGTAATTTCAGGGCTTACTGATAGTGACATGCAACAAAAGGAATTTTCACCCAAAGCAACCGTTTGAAATATTAGTATATATTTGAAACTCTCATATGAACACAGTTAGAACGAACAGCACAAATGAACCAGGTGCTATTCAAAACCTTAAACAGCTTTTTCTTTCTTCTCTGTAAGTGTCAAGGAACGATGGTTTGGTTTTTTTTAATTTGCAGGACTCTTACGGAAGAACAGAGAGAAGGGAAACAGCGAGCTGTGAAAACATTATGAAGAACACGCAGATAATAAGTCCATTCTGAGTTTTTTAAATCTCAGAACTTTATGCAGATTCAAACACTTCAATATCTCACCTGGCCATTCTAGTAATGATCCCAGTGTTCTGTCCAGTTGTTGAATTTGGGTCAGGACTTTCAGGGGCAGCTAAACAATGTGTTAAAAAGCCCATAAGATTAAAAATCATTAGATTTTACTTCAACAGTTTCATTATTTTTTAACTAATGATAAGTAACTTTGTTACATGTTTGCCCACCACTAGTCACTTACAGATTCTACTGACGACTTTGCCAATGAATAAGCTTGATTATCATTCGTTTATGAATTTTGAGTAAATGTTGTGTAAAAAATAAACGTTCATCTCATTTGCTAGCACTGAGTTCTTCTATGCCATTGGCCACCCAGCTTTCTAGATACTGTTATTAGCATTGGCCATCGAAAGCCCATTGCCAACTAACTTTATCTGATTATTTGATAGTTAAATGAATAGTTCACCCAAAAATGAACATTTTGTCATCATTTACATCATTTATTCACCCTTCACAGTTGACGGTAGCCCTTGACTTCCATAGTATTTCATTTTTTTTTTGATTACCAACATTCTTCAAAATATCTTCTTTTGTGCATACAGGTTTGGAATGACAAGAGGGTAAGTAAATGATGACAGAATTTTCATTTCTGGGTGAACTATCCCATTAAACCTAAAAAAGGAAAGTGATTTGATGACTAATAACAGAAAGAAATTGTGAGCAGAATTGTGGGATTCAAAATGCTTATTTGGGTTGGATCACTAATATATTAGGAAAGACACTGATATGTTGAATATGGAGTTTACCATCATGCACATCTGGTGCTGGTGGACAAGTCACATGTGAATCAGCATGAATCTACAACAGAATAGAAACGAGAGAGAGAAATCAAGAACATACCAATGCTGGATGTGCTCACAAATGAAAAGTACCTGAAACAGGTTTTTTATTTTTATCAGCTGCTATAATTAACATAATGGAGTAGTTATGCCACCCGAATGAGCTAATATGTCAGATTGTGCACCCTGCAGGGGCTATTAAAAATGATTAACAATTGAGACAGTGTGTGTGTAAGTGATGGAGAGAAAAACTGGCTCCCCAAAACACACACGTTCATCCACTAACCTCACTGCCACAAACCATCTCTTCTGCACCATTGGCCGAGGAAGGGGACTCCCTGAAAGAGAGAAAGATCTATTTGTTCTCTTTTTTTTGACATATCTAATTCCTGTTCCCTTTTCCAGCACATTTAACATAAAAACAAAAGCCCTGTTTTAGGCAAGTCTGCAAGCGTATGAGCCTGAGGGCTTGCACACATACACACAAATTCCCTATGAACAGACGTCTATTTTTGAGTTGTGTAAACTCCACCGAATTACTGGAGTCCTCGCCAGAATGAACCAACATCATCATTTTCTCATCGCCCACCACAAACAAAATGAGGACATGACGGAATTAAAAGTACATGTCAAATTCTGTTCTCCGCTGGCTTATTGATTTGTGCATCTCTTTCTATGCGGAGGAATTGGATGAGATGGGATGTTATTTTAACAGCTAAATTATTATGTTCTGCCTGCAGATTGAGTGACAGCTTCACTGAGATGGCGCCCCATGCTCAGGCTCCTCTGCTCTGCTGTTTCATAACTGCTGCATGTGACTCAACACCTCATCACTCGGGTCAGCAATCTTATCAGTTTATCAACCATCACTGAAAACAAAGTGGAAAATCCCACAAATGTCTCCTTGTGTCTGTCTGACAGCAAGGTCCCATGAAACGTATTTATAAACACCATCCTATAATTGTATGGCTTGGTTTCATCATCACTCCGAATGGCCTTTTATTTAAAATTGATTGGCATCTGTTTACTGTATACGAGTCATGTGGTGAAATTTGGGCCTGTTCTAATTGTTGTTTTATTCATTATTATTTTATTTCCATTTATGTTGCATCGTGACATTATGCATCCAGCAAGGACTTTAAAAGAAGTATTAAAATGACACTACAAGTGTTGGAAAAAAACAACTAAATACACTTTGAGGGAAAGACAGATTTGCATAGGTGAAGGACAAGACTTGACATTGATTTATTACCTCATGCAGCACATAAACACACTTACTGAAAGCACTCTGGGGTTTGCTTATTATCCTTGTGTTGGTTCATAGTGCCCTCTTTTGGATGATCCATTGCAGTGGTTTGGTCTGTCCTCATTGGCTCACTGGCACACTGTGGACTTTTCAATATAGACTGTTTCTCCTGTGGGCATTTACATTTACTTTCATCAGCTTCTGACAATCACAATGATAGGAATCAAGCACCATGGCAAAACATTACGTATGGAATTTTTACCACAAAATAATTTCAACATAACTTAAGAAATTAATATTTAACAAAAGACACTCACCGGTGTGTTCCAGGCGTTGGTATTTTTCACTGCTGAACAAGAGTCAAAGACTATAGTTAATTTAAAGCATGTGTCATAGTGAAAAGGTGATATTGAGAGGACTCCCACCTGCATATGGAAAGGCTGGTTCACGATACTCCACATACAGCGTGATTAGGAAGGGGTATGGAGACAGTTTTACATCCTCTTTCATGAACTTCATTTTGGACACTTGTTCCCATTTACTTTTGTCTGTAAGTGTGGTGTGTTGTCAAGGGAAGTAATGGTCCATTATTTGTATAAATTGTAGTTATCACCTTTAGTTTAACTGACTCTGAATGCAACAGCAATTCAGTTTTTATTAAAATGACAAACATTTTAAAACAGAGTCAAGGTCAGGACTCCCTGAGTTCTTTCATACATTTAAAGGGATAGTTCAATAAAATGGAACTTTGGTTATTATTTACTTAACCTCATGTATTACTTTTTTTTCGTCTGTGGAACATACAAAAAAATGTTATTTACAAAATGTCTTTTTCCATAAAATGGAAGTCAAAGGTAACCAGAACTGTTTGGGTCCTGACATTCTTCAAAATGTCTTCTGTGTTCTGCAGAAGAAAGATAACAGCTCTACAGGTTCGGAACGACAATTTCATTTTTGGGTAAAGTTAAATTAAGAGAAGCATACAGGGAAAAATGTTGAAATGCTGGGTGGTGAAGGGGTGAAGACCATCCAGGTTTGCAAGTACCGCACGCACAGCATTCTGCAAAACAAAATCAGATTAGGAATGAAATCTTCCCAAGGTTTACTAAATCAAATCCAAAATGATAATCCTGGTCTTAAAAAACCTCCAGCTCCTCACTGACTAGCGCTCCATACAGCATTTCTTCCTCATGAACGCTATAAAAGACAATATCCAAATCAGATAGGCTATTTCTAGAGAAATTACCTCTTTTTTAAAACTAATATCAAAAGGTAGGCTATATTGTAAAGGTAAAGGTATATTGTAAAGGTAAAAATCCTAAACGTATTCAAAATAATATAGCATACTTTATATTAAACAAATAAAATAAGCTTGTATGGTCTTGCCTGCTCATGTCTCCTCTTCTTATCTTGAATTTGAAGACTTGTTGTCCAGCCTGAAAAAATCTGGTCTCAGGCACAGGGAAGGAGAAGGCCTGGATTGACATTGTTGCTCGTTGGAGTAGAAATGGAACCTTCACTGGAAAAATATTAAACAAGAAGTATGGTATTACCTATATGATAAATGTATGTCTTATGCTTATATGTGTATAGTTTACAGAAATCTAGATTACTAAACAACTCCAGCTTGCTAGGACAAATGATCAATTCCCTGAGTTTCTGTAATTTATAAAACCAACACAGAATCGTTTACATTTTTTTTTTTTTACATTTATAAATGGAAATGACATGGTTAATAAACACTCGGGGGCAAAAGTATAAGTTACCGTAACGCCTCAAGTATTTCGCGCCAACTGTTTTAGAATGTTGAAAAAGAGCGCGGGCCTGTCAAGCGATGTCAGTGGTCCCGCCCTCAGGTCATGAAAGCCTACTCTGATTGGTCAAATGCGACATGCATCCACTGAGAATGCATGTCGCATATGTCCCGCCCCTTTATTGTCACATGATCAAGTTAGGTTGAGCGGGTTGTACAGCAGTTGACATAGATAAGGCTGTATGTGAAAGTTTATCGCTTTTACTCGTTACAGGTAGAACGTAGCTAGATTAGTATTGTTATTTACGTGGAACAGATCATCGAACCCTGACCGTGTTGAATTCACTGGCGCCTGTTTGTTTTTTTCATTTTCAAAAAAACCCCCTGCAGGGTGAGTTTATGTCTCTGTTACTCCAATTTATCATCTCAATGCATAATTAAATATATTATTCTTAATGCACATGCTTCTTCACTTCTTTATGCACTACAGCTTTCATAGTCTCCCTCTTCTCTCCAAATGACTGACCCTCAGCCGTCTGTACTTCTCAACACTGGGACTCGGATGCCTCTGTTGGGACTGGGCACTTTCCGTTTGCAGGGTCAAGAGGACACTTATAATGCTGTGGATGCAGCTTTGACAGCTGGTTACCGTGCCTTTGACACTGCGGCAGTGTACCATAATGAAGCACAATTAGGTCATGCCCTCTGTTGCCTGCTGCCCAAGCATGGCCTCTCTCGAGAAGATGTTTTTATTACTAGTAAACTGGGTCCCAAAGATCAGGGGTCCAAAGCCAGAGATGGTTGCCTGAGGAGCCTGGGGCAATTGGGATTGGGCTACATTGACCTATATCTTATTCATTGGCCAGGTACTCAGGGGCTGCCAGCGGGGGATAAACGAAACCCTGAAAACCGTGCTCAGAGCTGGACAGTCTTGGAGGAGTTCTACTCAGAAGGAAAATTTCGGGCCATTGGGGTGTCTAATTACACAGTAGAGCACATGCAGGAGCTACTGAAGAGCTGTAAAGTGCCCCCAGCAGTTCTTCAGGTGGAGTTCCACCCAAAGCTGGTTCAAAAGGACCTGAGGACACTTTGCAAGGAAAGAGGGGTGTGTTTTCAGGCATACTCATCTCTTGGAACAGGGCTTCTACCATCAGACCATGTGGTTCTGGATTTAGCAAAAAAGTATGGGAGGACATCAGCCCAAGTGTTGCTGAGGTGGGCCGTACAACAGTACATTCCAGTACTGCCAAAATCGCGTCAGCCAGAACGTGTGGAGGAGAATGGGCGTCTGTTTGACTTTGAGATTAGCGAGGAGGATGTGGAAAAGCTCTCCGCTCTTGATTGCGGGGAGAAGTTCTGCTGGGATCCAACACAAGTGTCTTAAAGACAACTCATTGACAAAAACTCAAATGAATTTTTGACTTACCGAAGTTCCAAGGTTGTTCAGATTTACAAATTTAAATCCCACAGCATAATCTACATGGCTCTTTATTTTATGGTTAGCTTGCTACTTTATCTTTTGCTTGACCATTTGAAAGGGAACTGTAAGAGATGTTCTGATGCAAACAGTATATTAAACCAGTTAACTCTGTAATAGTGGCAGGATTTTTTCTTTAAGCCGCATGTCCAAGTTCAACCTGTTTACAATTTGCACCTCACATAAAACAAAGGAGTAGAGTGTGACTAATGCTCAAGTAAACAACTGCAGTTTGATATATTGCCAAATTCTATTACATGAAGAACAGTACTTACATTTTACGTTTCAGAAAGAAGAACAACCGTGCTGAAAGTGATTTATTCATTCTTATTAGGCTATATCAGTTAGTACAAACAATGACATCACAATAAAATGTTGTTTTTAATTAATAGGAAAGTTACAAGGCATTGAAAATATGTTATGTTCAAGTAATACCAGTAATGTTTGATTGTGTCCCCTGCTCTCTTGGGTATTTAGACCCATTCTTGTTTTTAAGCTTTTGTGCTTATTAGTTGTAGAAACTTCCTGTAGATTTTTATGACTCAAGAGATGGTATTAAAGCAAAAGGATTCTTCAAAATGGCCAAAGTCCCTTTACAGTAAAAACTGATTTTATTTACAGCTGACGCTCTAAAAATAGTTACAAATTCAGGTAATGTATAATAAAATACCTTCAACGTCTTTTGATTTCATCTGAATATGAAAACCGATGTGGCAGAGTGACAGGAAGTCTATGATTTGAACAAGCTGATATCCAGCTTTCTCACATTCATGAGATTTACTGCGTAATATTCCCAGAGCTCAAAGAAAATTGGAGATTCTCCGGTTTTGTCATTTTTGTGGGCTAGCACATGCCAGTGAGAAACCGATTATGCTTTTCCACAGTCAAGGGTCCCCAGTGCAGTTCATGAAAAGGGTTTAAAACCAGTCGATGGAATTATCCCTTCTCTTCACAGCAGTGCATCCTTTTTTTCTGCCACCAATTGTTATGTACAGTAGTCCTCTTTTCTCTCTTCTTCCGTCATTCATTCACTGTCAGTCACTCAGCGGGGCGTGACTCAGCATCAGACTCTTTGTGACTCCAAAGGAAGGCCAACCAGCTGGGGGACTGCCGCATCTGACGTGTTGTTCCTGCACTCTTCACCCTCTTCATCTGTAAGAGATGCAAGATAAGAAAATCATTTTAATTTTCCATGGCTTAATAAGTAGGTAAAACAGAGTTTTAGTTTACCTTGCATGTTGATCACTATTAATGGAACTAGGTTTCCTTACCCCTTTATCAAGGAGGATGTCAAACTCATCACTCATTCTCCTTAGCTGTTGGCCATATTTCTTAGCTGCCCACAAAGCAGGAGGAGCCGAGCGGGATCTAGGCCTGAAAGGATCACCTCCAACCAAATCGCCTTCATCTGCTGCCCCGGTCTCCAGCAGGTCCTCATCATTCATGGAAAGATTCCGGTGTCTCCCTAGTTGTTCTCCTACAATGACATTTGATATTGAATGGTACCCGATCAGATCAGACCTTACGTTAGAATACATTTAAAGTATCTCTTAATGTGAAATAAATTTGATCCATTATTGGTTTTAAAAGCTAAAACCAATGCCACCACAGAGTGGCTTCGAATGTACAATGTACTACATTCTTGTATTTGCTTGTAATTGTGGTCTGCTGTGCCGTGTATCCAGGATACAACAGAAATGACGTGTGTTCTTGTAACTATCCTACAGGCCCCTGAGACTGACTCACCTTTCAGCCTACCAGGCACAGCGAGATGCTGCGTTCTCTGTGGTGATCCACTGTTATTTTTCACCTGGCCCGATTCCTCACAGTCTTCCGATGTCTCGGTCTCTGACTCATTGTCCGAGATACTGAACATTTGTGCCATGATTAAACTGCAAGTTAAAAGAAAAACTTGATTAATTACATTTTCATTTATGCACATTTCTAAATATGCCATTTAGGTAAATGGAAACATGTTGCTGTTTGTGTGTTATTTCACATTATGAAATAGCTTATCCTCAAACAGATCAACTAAGAGCAGAGTCAGGATCAACAATATAACCTCATAAGCTACCGGTAAAGATGAGGCAAACAGTGCAATACTGCTTGATTAATATAGGCAACACTGTTGCGCAGTATTTCACTCTTGAGCCACCACCACCAAAAAAACGAAACAAACCAGTGTTATGGTCTGAACTCAGACAGACTTTCTCGAGACAGACGTTTATAGTGAAAACTGACCACAGACATATTTCTCAAAGCTGACTTCAAAGAAATAACCTGCATTATCTGACAATAAACATAACAATAACAATATTACCAATACCAGGTTTTTTAAATATAGTTCTGCAAATGCTAACTAAGTTACCTATGCTTATCGAGTTACGTGTCATAATGATTACATTTCAAGATACGGTTGTAATCTCACACGGTCACATATAAAAACGGGGATCAAGAGGAAACTTCTGTTTACAACTTTGAGGCTCAGTGCCACCCCAAACCCTTAAACAGAGGTTGTAACGTTACCGTCTGACGACCGCGGGTTGATCACTTTTTTAAGTTTCAGCCCTGCTTTGTAGTGTTTTCAAAATCGCGTTTTGTTTTTGTTTAATTATTAATATTTAAACTATCGAGTTACCCACCGATTTTGGAGTCTGTCGGCGTCCTGCTTACAGTCTTCCGGCTGATATGGGTCTGTGTTTTGGACAGGCTCTGTTCCTCACACGAACCCGTGATGTGGGGAGTAGAAGCGCAACAGCAAATCACCTCCAACTCCCACAGTGCAGGACACTTGTAAACAATAAAACATTCATTGAAATAAACACAGGCGTTGTTGTATTTAATAAACGTTTCAGCCCTAAATAATTTTTTTGATAGAAAACCACTTTAAAAATAATGGACCCTCATTTACCAAATAAATGAATATGAAAAACGGATGACTTGAAATAATTTTATTATTTTTATTTTCGTTTATCAGGAGAGTGGCAGTTAAAGAGTTTTTGCTATGGACAACGGTTATTATTCAGAAATTGATGTCAGTCAATAGTGGCATTGAAAATACATCTATAATGATAAAACGTTTGCTTTTTATGATAATGACTGCGATAATAATGCAATAAATTTACTGGGAAAAAATAGGAAAAAAAATTCTGCGCTAATTAAGTAAAATAAAAAGAAAATGTTTATAATGGCTAAAGTAGATTAAATCAATAGAGAAAAATACAAAAAGGCAAAGGCAAAAAATCCGCACACAAAACGAAATGCAAAGTTCAAGGTCCTTTGAACAAAAATGTATTCCTGAAGATTTACATGAAGGTGACAACAAAAACTAAAGTGCACAAACAAAAAAGTGACTGCACACACACACACACACACACACACACACACACAGTTCTCCAGTGCGCGTCGCGAGGATATGGAAGATGGCGAGCGCCGAGACAGCGGCAGAGCACGAGCGAATCCTGCGTGAGATTGAGAGCACAGACACTAACTGCATCGGGCCAACACTCCGGTAAGTCTTCATTAACCGTACCGGAGGCTACCGGGCTCGGGGTGCGATGTGACATTTTGGTTCAAAGGTTCCCGGAGAGCCTGTTCTCCTTGTTCCCTTAACTTCTCACTCAGAGACTTGCCAGGAAATCTTCCATTCAAGTTGTCAGGCTGGTAAAGTTGGTGCTCGGTAGCGGTTTAGAGAAAGTTTTAGTTAGTATTCCTCTCACATGTCCCGCTGCACGGCTCCCGGAGAGCAGGCGGATATTTGAGTATAATGAATAACGCTCTTTATTTGAAAACAAACCAAAAGAGCCGTGAATACTGTGTTGTGTTGTTGCTGTCCATTGTATTTAGGGAAGTAAACCAGGTCATTAACTTCTCAAAACAGTTGGCATTTTGCTTTTTCATAACATGAATTTCTGCGTCAGAGCTCGATGACACATTTGTTTTGATTGGAGTAGTTATGGGAGAAATAAATTAAAAGTTGCCACCAAATTAGCATAGCCCCTTCTTGCGGAGTTACAAGTTTTTAACCAGATTGAGCTACATTTGCAAACCACAGATTAAAGTTAAATGTCAGTTAAACGGTTGACATTTTAAAAAGGATGTTATGAGACGAAATCAACAAGCCTGTAGTATTTTAGGTTCGTTGGTTCAGCTTTAGTTTATCTTTCATGGCCTATATTTATTCTCATTCAGTTATTTTTAATGTCACCTACCAGGATATGAAGGCATCATGACTCAACTAAAGCTGTTTACAGTGAAGATCTGCAGTGAATTTGATCTGTGTTGATTAGACACACAATATCTTGAACAAGTACACAGAACAAAGAGAGCATAATGTGTCATTCTTCATATAAGTGTACCTTTTCCACTAACTTTCCACATAGTTGACCTGCATCTGTCAACTGTGTTGTTTGGATACTACTACCAATCACTAATTTAATCCAGCTACTGTTACTTGATGACTAGTTTGTTTTACATGTTGTTCAGATAGTGGAACTGTGTGATGCTAATTTTGGTGCTAGCAGGGTGTGTGAGGGACATTGATAACAGTCTCATAATCGCACACCCTCTGATGAGACTTTGCAGAATGAGGTGAAATTGTGAGCACAGACTGGCTTCCTAGCCTTGCTCATGTTTGCATGTTTAGTCATTGTTTGTGATTGGTTATTTTACAGCAGTCTCATAAGACAGTGGAGCTAATGCTTGCTGACCAACTAAAGAAAAATGGGGAGACATTTTTTGTGGTTAAAAATAGTATTTTTAGTGCATGATAAGATGAGAAAAGCTATAAAAATCATGGTCTTATGGTTAAAATTACAATGCAATAGAAGTATCAACAGATACCCCTTAAAAAAGGCAGGTACTTGCTTCTATCCATTGGTCATCGATTGGTTGGAGGCAGATCTGAATGTAAGTTTACAGTCACTTGTAAGATAGGGGAGGCGTTTAAGTGGACCACACGATTGGAGAGACATTTAAAAAAATGTAAACTCAAATAAATAAATACATTTAAGTAAGTCTTTTTAAAGAATTTGTTTTAAGAAAATTAATTAATTAAGCATAAAATCTAATGTAAACCAATCTGATCTAATCTAATCCAAATCTAATTCTAATCCAAACTAATTTAAAATTAGATAAAAAACTTTTTATCGGATATAAAAATGCAGTGTCGCAGTAACAAGAATCTAATAATCAACTTTGTGAATAATGGAAAGTAAATATGAACCTCAAAATAATGTTTTACATCTATGTATATAGCAATGAAAAGTTTGAGGGTAAATTTGTATTTCTTTTCTAAAAATGTGACCTTACCATATTTTATATTGATCCAGAAGCACATATAGTAAGACCTGTATCCTTCCATACCCCAGGTATTTTTGTTTTTGTTTACCAGAAGTAAATGTGTGCAGCATAAACAGCTCATATCTCTGAGCTATTACCATCACTGCACATTGGAAAGACCATCAAGTAATGCAGAGACTTCCCAAGTATCATACTGTAAGGTCAAGTTGTGTAATAAAGCAAGGGTACATCACTCTTGTTTGCTAATTGGCTGTGTGGCGCTAATGGACTGTGTGTTCTCTCTGTGTTTCCAAAGGACAGTGCAGGGCCTCTCGCATTCTGATGTGCTTTTAGATGCCTTGTAATGGATGGCACAACACATTGCCAGACAAGGCTCAATAAATTGTAAACAAGCTAACCGATAACAGCATTTTTTTTGGCTGAAACTTGTGAAACAGGACCCTCTGGCTCCTGATCATCATTTCCGCTGTCTTTTTTCTTATCTCCTTAATTTAGATGTCTGTTTTTTTGTTGCCATTTTTAAATGCCTCTCATTTTAAGATTGGATACATTTGATAATGGTTTACTTTTAATCTGTTGATATGAACAGGTTTAACATCCTCATATCTCTATTTTTGTACTACTTTCTGAAGGCTGACATTTTCTGCTTTTTGTGGCACAGCTGTCAGCGAATGTGACCTGTTTTTCACAAAAAACAGTGTGTGTTTTGTTAGTAGAAATGGCGTAAATTGGCATCAGCATTTGTACCATGGGCTGTTTGTGTTATATTGTGTCCATGTGATAGTTGATGTCCCATGCAACATGTTTTCCTTTCTCATGTGCACAGGCTTGTAATCTCACAGTATTTAAATGAAACTCCTATGTGTGTGAGTGCGTACTATATTTGGCCTCACATGAAGACCGATCATACAAGACTTCTGGGGCTCTAGGTATGAAATGTGAGTTTATATCAGAGAGAGAATGCTGAGAAAGCCTGGGTTGGTCTGCCTTAGTGAGTCAGTTTCCCCAGACTGTGCTTCCTCCACTCCTGCTCAGCCCAGACTATAATTATTTGATTATTTTGATCATTTCATATAAATGGACTGGTTATGGCTAGTATTAGAAATTGCTTTATGCAGTCTGTAGTGTACAAGTAGTTTTTATCGCTCTATAGAAGAAGTGATTGGCTGTTTCATAATGTGCACACACGTCAGGACTTGTGATTACATTCCTATAGTTAAGCCCTGTAGTATAATGTACACACAGAAGAAAGAAAAATCAGTCTGCTATTCCTTGGTCCATTCATCCATCCCAAGATATCTGGTAGTTCTAAAATTGCCATGAAATGGAAATTCACCTTATCTATTGTCTAAATGCACATTTTTGATCAAATTGTGAACAATCAAAATGTCCTTACTTGATGTTCCGGCGGTGAAACGTCAGACTTGTTGCTGGTGAAGTATTCTAAACCCACCCCTTACAATCGACTGCTAGCTCACATTCAAATCTGCCTCCATCCAATCAAAAACGGATGGATAGAGCTAAGTCCCACCCTGCATTTTTTCCTTTTTGATAACCTGTTTAAAGGGGTCATATGATGTTGCTAAAAAGAACATTATTTTGTGTATTTGGTGTAATGAAATGTGTTTATGCGGTTTAAGGTTAAAAAAACACATTATTTGCCACATACTGTACATTATTGTTTCTCCTCTATGCCCCGCCTTTCTGAAGCTCGTCGATTTTTACAAAGCTCATCGGTCTTAAAAAGCGAGGTGTGCTGTGATTGGCCAGCTATCCAGTGCGTTATGATTGGCCGAATACCTCAAGCGTGTGACGGAAATGTTACGCCCCTACCATACTGTGATGATGCCCTGTCAGGCCGGAGCGATGATCCAAAAACATGAAAACCCATTATAAACGAGGCATTCGTTGCATATAGTGTGGACATAATTATGGATTATAATGACTTATACTGTCTTTTTACGTGTTGCGTTGCATCTCGCCGCGTAAACATAAAACCATGTCTGCATTTGTGATCGGAGAAATGACAAACAACAAGCCCTACTCTACACTGCCCAAAAAACTCGCTTTAAATATAAAAAATATAAAATATAAAAACTCTTTAAATATAAAAAAACGTACTTACAGTCTGTGTGTCAGAACAGCCGGCATTGTAGTCTACTCTCCCAGGATCAGGAAACAGTCCTCCATAAAATGTGCTGCACACATCTGAATATTTGGGTTGAAGTGTTCTGGAACAGTGTTGTAAATACAACTTAACCACTGATTTCTAGTCGTGTCCATTTTTGGAAGGCCAAATAAAGTAGTTTCGCTTTCACAACGAAACACAGCGTCACACACGGTGGCCCAGAGTGAGCGGCGGCGGCCTAGAGTGAGCAGAGGCCGGGGGTTAGAGTGAGGAACAGTTGGAGGGCTAGAGTGAGCAGAGGTGGCGGGCTTGGAGAATGGCGCGGCCAGCGGATT